AGCATCCGAAACAGTGTGAAGGATGTGAAGACGCTGCCTGGGGCAGATATTGGCTCTGACCACAACTTACTGGTTGCCAAGTTCCGAACCAGGTTGAAGAAAATTATAAAATTTCAAAAGCGCAGACCTAGATGGGATTTGGAGAAGTTATATACTCAAAGACAAAGCGTGCAGGAGACCCTAGAAGAGAAACTCGGTGCAATTGAAGGTGAAAGCAGAAATGCTGAAGTGCAGTGGAACAATATAAAAGAATGCATGTTAGATACTATCAGTGATTTGGTTGGTAAAGTTGAGAAGATAGCAAGAAAAGCATGGGTTACACAGGAGATGATGAGTAAAATGGAGGAGCGAAGGAAATGGAAGAATGTCAACAATGAAGAAGGCAGGAGGAAATACAGGAGACTGAGGAATGAATTGAAAAGAGCCACGGACAGGGCCAAAAAGGAATATCTTGAGAAGATATGTAATGAGATTATGGAATTTCAAAGAACAGGCCGTTATGATTTGATGTACATGAAGACAAAAGAACTAGGATGGAAAGAGAATCATGGGATTCAAAATGTTGGCATCGAAGACTCCCAGGGGAATAGAATAGTAGATCAGAGGCAAGTGCTGAAAATTTGGGAAAATTATATTTCAGAACTATATGATCGACCTAATCGGCCAGAAACCTTAGAAGTTGAACCGGAAGAAGAAGTAGATACAGACGAGAAAGGACCATATATTTTACAAAGTGAGGTGGAAAAAGCTATCAAGGAAATGAGGAAGGGAAAGGCTACAGGAGATGATGATGTACCTGGAGATGTGCTCAAGTTACTGGGAGAAGGTGGTGTTGAAAACACTGACAAACCTATAAACACCATATACAAAACTGAGGAGTGGCCCAAGGACTTTACAGAAGTTACAATGATTGCCTTAAAGAAAAAGACAAAAGCTACAAAATGCAGCGACCATCGCACAATAAGTCTTATTGCACATACAGCAAAGATAATAGCAAAGATACTTAAAAGAAGAATTGAAAGGAAAATAGAGGATGTACTTGGAGAAGATCAGTTTGGATTTAGAAGAGGAAAAGGAACCAGGGATGCAATTGGGATGATGAGAATTATAGCGGAACGAACTTTGGAGATAGATGAAGAACTGTGTGTTTGCTTCATAGACTGGCAGAAGGCATTTGACCGGGTAAACTGGACCAAATTAATGCAGATCCTGAAAGAAACAGGTATCGATTGGCATGAAAGAAGATTGATTAGCAAATTGTACATGGATCAGAAAGTTAGAGTACGACTGGACAGGGGGGAGACAGGAAGTGTGCAGATTGGAAGAGGAGTTCGACAAGGATGCTGTTTATCACCAATTCTGTTCAACTTGTACAGCGAATGCCTTACCAAGGAAGCTCTGGATGGGCTCGGTGACTTCAAAGTAGGAGGGCAAATTATTCAAACTGTGAAATATGCAGATGACCTTGTGTTAATGGCTAAGGAAGAAACTGTGCTACAGGGCATGATTGATAGACTAATTGAAATTGGAAGGTGCTATGGCATGGAAATGAATGTGGAGAAAACAAAAGTAATGAAAATTTCGAGACAACCAACCCCAGTCACAATAAAGATAGACCAAAAACAACTGGAGAATGTGAAATGTTTTAAATATTTGGGTAGCTTGTTAACAGATGATGGAAGGTGTACTAGTGAAATTAAATCCAGGATTGCCATGGCAAAAGCTGCATTTAGCAAGAAGAAGAATCTTTTTACCAGCAAATTGGACTTAAATTTGAGGAAGAAACTAGTGAAATGCTACATTTGGAGCATAGCTCTGTATGGGGCTGAAACATGGACACTTAGGGCAGTAGATCAGAAACATCTGAAAAGTTTCGAAATGTGGTGTTGGAGAAGGATGGAGAAGATCAGTTGGACCGATTATGTGAGAAATGAAGAAGTGTTAATTAGAGTCAGTGAGCAGAGGAATATCCTACACGAAATAAGAAAACGGAAGGCTAATTGGATTGGTCATGTTTTACGCAGAAACTGCCTTCTAAAAGAAGTTATTGAAGGAAAGATAGAGGGGCGGATAGAAGTGACAAGAAGACGAGGAAGAAGACGTAAGAAGATGCTGGATGACCTTGGGGACAGAAGAGGATACTGTCATTTGAAGGAGAAAGCTCTAGATCGCAGTAAGTGGAGGAATTGTTTTGGAAGAGACTGTGGACCTGTCGTCTGACAGATTACTGATGATGATGATGATGATGATCAGCATCCCTTGCAAACTGGCCATTTAAACTGGACCCCCTTCCTTGTGTCAACCAACTTTCATATTTAGGATTCAGAGACATTGTAATTATAGGCCATGGTGCAATTGATCACAAAGTGCAGTGGCTCCAGGATAATTTCTGTGCATGCACAATTATGTCAATAGAGCACTGCTGACTTATTTTATATCCTCCAGGATACTTAAAAATATAAACTGACAAATTTTGATGACCTCAACTGAACTGGAAGGACTAGTCAGTTCAAACATCAGAAAGGCATTAATTACTCTCAGAACTAAGAGAGTTTATTAGAGAGAAAAACTTCTCAAGAGAAATTCTGTTGAGGCACATGAGTATATGATTCATTATTAATAGCAAACCATTGCTTATTAAGAAGAAAGCAGTCTTCTGGTATTTGGCACCGTGTATATGTGGTGTTAACCGACATTTCGGAGGAACGTATCGCCTCCATCTTCACGGTGCCAAATCCCAGAAGACTGCTTTCTTCATAGTCACCGCCGTGAAAGCCTCAAATCTTACATTGCTTATTAGTTTACCAATGTAGTTGACTTTTTACACATACAAACATGGACTGGCCAGCCAGCCAAGGTACAGTGGAGGGGAGGCCACCTTGTTTCCCTGTACTATCAGATGTGAAATTATGTTTACTAGTATAACAGGGATGCATATGTTGGCAAGGAACTGAGCCTAGTATACCCAGTTTGGCAGTGCCAACATTGATGAAGACAAGTGTTCCGACACAGAGGATGATGAAATTGGCGGCATTACATTACTCTGAGAGAGCAACAGATCTGTGCAGTGAACAGTCAGTGTTTACACTTGTACTGTACATGTTGAGACAATCTAGCTCTTCCATGATATGTATACAGTTGCCGTCTTGTAGTGCACTCAATTTCACTTGTTACTTCATGACATGTTTCGGCAATATAGTGCCATCATCAGGTGCCCTAATTACGCTAATCTACTTCATTGCTTGCCTTTATAAAATTATTTAAAAACTATTTAAAAAAAATAGGTAGGGCACCTGATGATGGCACTATGTTGCCGAAACATGTCGTGAAGTAACAAGTGAAATTGAGTGCACTACAAGACGGCAACTGTATACATATCATGGAAGAAAATCAGTGCAACAGGACGCTAAAATACATTATAATCTAGCTCTTTCTAAGGAACCCACCAGAGTAGCTGTCTGCCCCCTTACCTGAGGATTGAAACAGATCCAGTTTCCGAAACATTGGGTTCTCTAGCTTTTAGAATATTGGGCAATGGATGAAGTCCAAGAATCCAGTAATTCTATTGTTACACAGTACCTGCAGAACCCTTTAGAATCTACTAGTTTAAGTTATTACCTCAGTATTTGACAGAAGGGGCCATAAATCACATAAGAACCTCACTGGGCAGAGGCAGTTACTAAACCAAAATTCATACCCATCACCTAGAGAACAAAGATCAGGTATGCTAAGAATCTGATCAAACATTTAGTGTGAGGGCCTACTGTCTTCAGAAGTGTATCTCTTTGTAGGCATTCTACATCAAAAGAGGGGTCAGCATGAGGCCCCTGAATTGCAAAGGGTTAAATATGCAAAATGAATAAACAAATAAAATAAAATATATAAACATTATAAAGTGCAATATGTGACTCACTGATTAATGTCACCATCACTTTAATGTACCTGCAGGTCTGCTCCAAATTTCTCAGAAATACTCTTCAAGAATTTAAAAATCTGAATATGAAACTAGTAGACTTAATTTATAATGGAGCTGAGCAATGCTGCTCCAGTGTTATGCTGATGGATTGGTGTATAACTGAGGGCCATTTCTGTATGATGTGGTATCTCTAAGTATAATCAGGAATTATCATCATCCCCAGTCATAACACATGACCCACTGCCTGCGTCTCTGCCTCCTACTATCACAGTCTTTGCATATTGTTCTCTTCTGTTTGGAAGTATAGTGACTGTATTGGCCAATGGTAGATGGGATGAGATAAAATAGACATGACCTATTTCAGGGAAACAACTTGATATTCATCTGGGGGAATGTAGAAAAGTACTGAAAATGAAATTTGTCCTGGCCAGTGATCAGGTCATTAAATCAAGTCCTACACCACAATATTATGTACAGCATCTATAAGTTGTTGCCATACACACAACATAGATGAACCTATACTTATGAACTTTAAAGAAACGATTAATTTGTATTTATGAACTAATATATTGTAACTCCAATTACATTTAACAAACACAGAACCCTGCACTTACGATCAGTTTAACAAATTAACATTAATTAAACGACATCTTATGAAAGAAATTAATTCAACTTAAGAACAATCAACTTAAATAAACACACTTCAAATAATATATTATGTTTGCAAGTTGTGGTTGGCTTGTAACAGGGTGTTCATTAAGCACCATTTTACAGCCTACTGAAATCTCATACTTAGCTACTATTAACAAGGTAAAAGAAGGGGCTGTCACAGTCACATATTGACACGGATTTTCAGACTAATTTTAAAATAAGATATACATGTCAAAATAATCTAACCCATTCATCATATTTAAAATTATGAATTTCAACTCCTCCTTGTTAGGATTCAAAAGAAAGCATTATATTTCCAACATTTCACTATTTTAGTTTTCACCCATAATGTTTACACGAAAATTGTTTCGGTTAACTGAATGCAATAAAATCAAGGCTTATTATCAGTTACATAAAATACATTCAATATTACCTTCGCCATCTCGACGACCAAGTTTTCTACAGAATGCTGTCCTAACAACTGAATATCCGACATACGCAAATCCTGCAAATATTGCTGAGCATAATGCCACTTTATTTACAGTTTTGTCCCCTGTAGAAGCTGCCATGTTAACACTCGTCACTAAATTCACTTAATTTAATGTATGAATCACTTCCTTCTGACATTCATGATCCTTAGTTGTACAATAATCATTTGTAACTGCAATACAAAAATGTTGTACACAAATCTTTTAATCTTTGAAATTAAATTTTTTGCATTTCGATTAACACCCACTTCCTGATGCTAGCAGACTACAACATTACGCCAACTTTCCAGCGAAACCTGACGCAGGGCTGCCAGTGTTATAAGATGAACTTCACTAAAGCCGCTAAAGACGTTGCCAGACTCGACAGCCATCTACAGGCATCTTGTATAACCTTCGTTCAAAAACATTATCTTCTACAAACAGATGTTCTCTCTCAAAGTTACTTCCTATGTAATGCACGAAACAGCTTCTTAGCTTAATATATGTACAGTCCAGTACTGCATTTCTTTTGCAAGAACTGACTTCCATAGTCTGCATCCAGCCAAGTGCCGGTCACTAATGAAGCCCCAAACTTAAAGACCCAAGATGCTTCGTCAGGGCTATGGCACACCTCAAGGGGTGGTGAAAGCTGAGTATAATATAGCAGTGGAATGATGGCAGGCAAAGAATAACTTTAGGAACACGGATGAAATTTGCTCCTGGGCCACTTCATCCACCACGAATCTCATATGAAGTTACCTGGGACTGAACGCGACGATTCACGATATGAAGAATTACAACATTTGAAAAATACATAATATTTATTCTAAAAACTTTTTGCTGAAATTGCTGAATTATTGTATGGTGTTAAGATAATATTTATTCGGAGAAAATTAAAGAAATAATTCTATTAGTACTTGAAATATGCACATTGTTCACACGATAATTTTACTGCTTGTCCAGTACGCCAATATCAGTTTACAGACTTACAATTCTGTATACAACCTGACACTCTTCTCATTATCAGCTATCAGACATATAGCATGTACACGTATACTATCAGTCCAGTGTCTTGTTAAATTACCGTATAATTCAGTCCTACTAGTTTTTCTTTTTATCAAAACACCCGTCCAAAACGTAAGGAATGGCATACTACACCGTGTTCAGAGAGCAGGCTGATTGAACACTGATTTTACCGTCGGCAACTTCCTGCGAAAGCGATGCGTCACTTGCCGAGAAAAATGCCTGTTGGCGTTCGGGACCAGTGACACATATTGTTTACTTATTTTGTTAATTGTTAATTGTCAATCAAATATAGTAATTAATATTGCACTCACCGTCATAGAATATGTTCAAAATATCTGCCCCTTGCTGTTAGACATGCCTGAATTCTTTTAAACAGATTTCGGGAACCTTGCTGCAATTGACGTTGCTGAATATTGTAAATTGCTTTATGAGTATTCCGTTTTAGAGCCTCCAGGTCATGTGGATTGTTGGCATACACAACATTTTTTAGTTTTCCCCACAAATAAAAGTCACAGGGGTTTAGATCTGGAGATCTATGGGACACAAACCCTTATTAATAATTCTGCTGTCACCATTTCATTCTTCAAGCACACTGTGTAATGCTCGAATAGTTCCCTAAGCTGTGTTTGGAGTCGCGCTTTCTTGCATTAAATAACCGAATCTTTCTTCTGCAGGTGCCAAATGAACGAGAAATGGATTGGGTACTTCATTAATGTATCGTTCAGAAACAAGAGTTTCTTCATAAAGTATCGGTGCAATGATACAGATTGTGCTAATCGCACACCATACGCCTGTCTATTGGTCGTAAATCGGAAGTTGCATTAGCGCATGAGGATTTCCACTGCTCCAGTACCTCTTGTTTTGTGAGTTAACATATCCCGAGAGATTAAAATTAGCCCCATCTGTGAACAAATGTCAGCTAAGGATCAAGAAGTCCATCATGCACATGATTGATAAACCAATTAAAAATCTCACTTTTTTTTTTCATAATCCACAGGTTTAATTTCAGGAACAGCAGTCATTTAATACGGAGGAATATGCAACAGTTTAGTTCCTGCCCACACACTGACTACAGAAAAACCATTTTGTTGTGCTAATCGCAGCAAAGATTTTCGAGGAGAAATTTCTAATCGATGACAGATGTCAACAAGTTTTTCCTCAGTTAAAACACGACTTTTAACTGCTTTCTGTCAATTAAAATGCCTTGGGCTCGAACTTTATTCACTAATTTTGAAATTATATCTCCAGACGGACATGTTATTTCGGGAAATTTATGACGAAATTTTCTCTTGCGTAATTTATATGAATTTGTCTTCACATAACAACCATATACGAAAGCTCTTTGTTCTGAAGTGTATCTCACACGAGCCATAAAGCCACAGAACAGAACACTGTGCAAAGCATCTGTAACTGTTGATGGCGCAACACTGACTCACTGGTATCTCGGCAAGATTGACCTTCAGTTTGCCGGCGGATCCTAGAGTATCTGCCGACAGGAAGTTCTGAGAAGCTCCCTGGCAGTCTAATAAGCCTGCACAATGAACACTCGGTAGTAGTACTGCTAGGACCCATTCGGGGATAAGGCTCTGAAGGCCAGACCCCTGCAATCTGCAATTGATGACATCCGTGATTTCAATTTACCTGCAAGGTGATAAGAGAAACTGCGACTATTTGACGAAGTAGTTCCAGGAGTTTCAGGCAATAATATGCTGCAAAAATTACGAAGGTCGTCAACAGTTAATAAACATTTGTTTCCGCCTGAGGTAATTTCCGCCCAAGAGAAGTAAAGAAGCTGATGTTCTTAATCATATTCTCTGCCTTTCAATAAAGACTCACATGTACTGTTTTCTCTGCTTCCGCCTATCTATTCTTTCATATAATAATCACTCGTGAAACAAATACTTACAGATTTTCTTATAGTACTTTTGTATGGAATTAAATTGTTGTTCAAACTGGCAGCATTGACTGCAGTTATGCCACAAAAGTTTCGAGCACTCATTAGAAGAAATTCTAATCCGTAATAAAATGAAATTTATTATTTTAGGGAAATTTCTTTCTGCAGTAGTTATTTAGGATATTGTGACATTTAAATATGGAAGACGAGTTGATGAATATGAAAAAAAATGGATTTGTGATATATGTGCAATTTGATAAATCTCGTATTTCCTCGGATACAACTAGCATTCGGCCAAACTAAGAGCAACAGTGTAAAGAGATGAAAATAAGAAATAAATAATAACATTCGAAATTTTATTATCATCCAAAGTGTCCACATTCACTTTTAAGGGACTTCTGAAAGGAAAGTGTCTGTACTTTCGACATGTCCTGCTAAATACATTTCGACCGTAACTAAGAGCACGTGAGCTTAAGCATTTCAAATGGCAAATTTCTTTGCCTCCGAGAACGGCAACAAGAAAAATGTGTGACGCTCTCTGGTAAGCAAAATGTTTTAAATTATAGTTAAATATATGTAGTTAAATTATTATCAGTGGACACTGTTTTAATCGTTATAAATAAACGCCATGAGTCTGATCTACTGACAATTTTCTTCCACCAGATATAATTAGGTATAAATTAGGTATAATTGATTGAAGTGTGGAATGATTACAGGTGAAGTCCAGCAAAAATTTCACCGACAGACCGATCGACCGAAGTGTTTGCCTTTCGGGCAGGTAACTTTACGCCATTTCAATGCGTGAGGCTGACGGACCACGTGACCCTGAATTTCAACAATTATGTGGCTACGGCTGCTGTGGTCTTCGATATCGAGAAAGACTCCGCCACAACAGGGCTCTCTGCCTACTATATTAAATGTCAGAATTTTCGACAAGGTGCACTGAGCTAATTGTTTCCTTCCTCACTGACAGAAAATTTTATGTCTCGGTAGTACACAAATTTTCTACGCCAACAAAAATAGCGACAAAGGTTAAAAAAGTAGAAAGAAATACTGGTGGTGGTAGTGATAGCACTACATTGGGGGAGGAGAAAATATTTCTCCGATTTTGAAGGTACTGTTAAGGACACCAGGGCATCTTCAAGGAATCCACGATTGTCATAAGTTACGTTGAGGGCCATCAAATTTTCAACATGCCGTGTAAGGCTAGGGCCATACGAGCGCACAAATTGCCCATGTTGTAACGAACGTCGTGACTTCTGTTGTAGAAATACATAAGAGAGGTGGATGCCGCGCTTTCTTCTGGCTCCACTTCTGACAAAAAACTACGCACCGCATTCTGAAAATGTGTCGTGTCCTCAGCAAAATTCATGATAAAGTACGTTCATTACAACGGACGCATTTTGTGCGCTCATGTGGCCCCAGCATAAGCCGCTACAGTTAAGCTTCCCGGTGAGAATAATATAAATCTCTCAGTTCCTACTCACAGGAAACATACCCGAACACAGTTTCCCGGGTTTCGAGAGAGCGAAACAGTACATGCTTCAGAACTCTTGGCTAACGTGTGACCGGCATATATTAATAAAACGTCGAACTAATAGACATGTAATTGGTAGTAAAAGGGAGCGTAGACCGTAATATCCGAGGGCGCTGGACTACCGGGACCGGTAAATATTAATAAAAAGTCGTTGAAAAATTCATGTCATTGGTATTGGAAGAAGGGGCAGACCGTAAAAGCCTGAGGGCGCTCAGCTACCGTGAGCGGCAATAAATAATAAAAAAGTCGATGGAAAAGTAGTATGATTGGTACTGAAAGAGCGAGCAGACCGTACATGCCTGAGGGCGGTCGGCTACCGTGAGCGGCAATAAATAATAAAAAAGTCGATGGAAAAGTAGTATGATTGGTACTGAAAGAGCGAGCAGACCGTACATGCCTGAGGGCGCTCGGCTACCGTGAGCGGCAAAAAATAATAAAAAAGTCGAAGGAAAAGTCGTGTGATTGGTAGTGAAAAGCGGGTGACCGTACATGCCTGAGGGCGGTCGGCTACCGTGAGCGGCAATAAATAATAAAAAAGTCGATGGAAAAGTAGTATGATTGGTACTGAAAGAGCGAGCAGACCGTACATGCCTGAGGGCGCTCGGCTACCGTGAGCGGCAAAAAATAATAAAAAAGTCGAAGGAAAAGTCGTGTGATTGGTAGTGAAAAGCGGGTGACCGTACATGCCCGTGAGTGCTCGGCTACCGTGACCGGCAAATTGTAATGAAAAGTCGAAGGAAAAGTACTGGTGGTGGTAGTGATAGCACTACTTTGGGGGAGGATAAAATATATCTCCGAATTTGAAGGTTTTGTTAAGGACACCAGGGCTTCTTGAAGGAAACCACGATTGACATAAGTTACGTTCAGGACCATCCAATTTGCTTGACGCCGAGTAATCCGCTACAGGCAAGCTTCCCGGAGAGAATGATATAATTATTTCAGTTCGTACCTCACAGGAAACATACCCGAACTCAGTTTCCCGGCTTCTGAGAGAGTGAAACAGTACATGCCTCAGACCTCTTGGCTAACGTGACCGGCAAACATTAATAAAAAATTCGAAAGAAAAGTCGTGTGATTGGTAGTGAAAGAGCGGGCAGACCGTACATGCCTGAGGGTGCTTGGCTACCGTGACCGGTAAAAAGTAATAAATAAATCGAAGGAAAAGTCGTGTGATTGGTAGTGGAAAAACGAGAGGCCGTACATGCCTGAGAACGCTCAGCTACCGTGAGCGGCAAATATTAATTACCACGTTTAGGCTTTTTGTTGCTCACTGCAGAATATTCCTTCAAGTCTGGTATTGCTCTTCCTCTCGAATGTAGGCTACCCTGTGGCAAAAACACACGAAACTTGTTTTTATATTTATTCTTGACTAAGAAAATACTGGGTGGTTCAATCGGGTGGTGATAATGTGTGTGATAAAGGCTTAATTGCGCTAATCACAACATCCCGCAAGCAGCGGGTTTCCTTTGGCGCCAGTTTGGCGGCGGTTTGCTGGGTAACATGCACTGCATCCATTGAAAAGTTGCGTGTGGTTTCGTTCATGTAACAAAACCAGACGCATCTCAAAGCCTCTAATCTGTGTGGTGTTTACCCGTGCCTGGTCCCACACCACCAGCATATCGCACGGGATGCAATTCAACACTGCACACACCAGTAACTGTACACTATAATAGCTTATGAAATATTTGAGACTATTCCATATAACTTATATGTGTCATAGGCCTACGTGCATTCAGCAAACCAAGCTTGCATGTGCCTCTTTGTTCCACAAATAAATGCGGTCGGTCACGTGGGGAAAACAATTTCATTAACGCCTTAAACCATAAACTTAAATTAAATAATATTTAATTACTCAGCTTCTGTCTGTGTCTCCATGGCTCCATAGTCCTTTGTTGGCCCGCTTTTCCAGCTTCTTAATCTTTCACATAATCGGTAAGACTCCTTCGCCTGGATCAGCCCGTCGCAAGGCCGCTGCCAGCACACAGGACAGCGCAAATACAATAAACGCAAATTTACATTCATGCATGATGTGAGATTGGAACCCACGATCCCAGCGTTTGAGCGGGCGAAAACAGTTCATGCCTTAGACTGCGCGGCAAATGTGATCAGCAACAATTCAGTTTCTCACTGCAACTCGTTTACAACATGCAATCGTCTACTGCTCTTTAGGAAACGATTACCGTTTACTCGTAGAGCAATACGAGTGTTTCGATTCCTCTAACAACGCTGTCAATAGCTGAGAACATGTAGCGTTGGGAGGTAGGATGGTTACTTGGAAGTGGCCGTGGCTTATGTCGGCATTTCCCTAGAGACACTGAGGACTGCCAAAGAAACTTTATTCCGGGCCTGGACATTAACCAGGGGCAGCTCAAACACGAGTGCTAAGCAGCCAGAATTATACGAAACTCTTTGGGCAAAATGCAGAGTGGTGCATTCTGGGCGCTGTTCTGGTTCTGCACAGTTAAATCTGAACCAGCATGTGTTTGGCACGTTTCTCTGGGGCTGAGAGAACCACTAGAAGCGTCGCAATACCCGTCTTTCGCTTTTGAATACATAAAAAGTAAAAAGTGAAGCTATCCCTGTAACAGGCCGTGGAGGCCCATAGGGTTGTGAGACGTTGAGGGTCCCACACTATCTAGACAATCGGCTCACAGATGGCGGCAAGGTTGTCAGCCTTACGCGCCGGCCGCCTTTTACCCCCAATAATTTCCTAGTACTCATTTCTGTTAGAGGCTGAGTCGACCCCAGAGCGAAATTGCGGCTGGAAGGATTAGGTCAATTGAAAAAAATTCAATGACGTCCTCGGTACTAGAACCCGCGACCTTCTGGCTTGTAGCATAGTTCCTCAACCAGCTACGCTACCGCGTGCCCCCTTTTGAATATATGTAAAATTGAATTTGTATTTGCACCACGGAGAAGATACGATTTTATGATGTTCACTAATATCTCATATTGGAGTGGAACATTTTCACTCGTTTAAGAGAAGAGCATAGAATGGAGGGTGTCTGAAAGCAGGGCGCTGAGCGGGATGTGGGGACGGACGGAGGAGCAAATGTCTCAGAATCTACACATATACGAGTAATCTCGGTGCTGATCCTCAGGAGACTAGGGAGCCATCACTGTGTGAAGTTCTTGAGTTTCAACTGACTCCATGGAACTGGAGACCTTTGTAAGATGGTTCTAGTTCCCCAGCTCCTCAAGACATTATCCGCCTTTTGTAGAGCCTGCGCTATACACGTGCTTCCATCACTCATTCTTACACTGAACCAGATGAATCCAGTCCAAACTTCCAATCTGCTTCCCTGAGATCCATTTCAATATCTTATCTACAAGTAGGAAGACGTAGGTGGAGGGATAATATTCAAATGGATCTTAAAAGACATGATGGGGTGGTATGGACTGGATTGATCTGGCTCAGGACAGGGAGCAGTGAAGGGCTACTGTTAACATGTTAATGAGCCTTCGGGTTCCAAAAAGACGCTGGGAAATTCTTTAGTAACCGCACAACTGGGGTCTTCTGAAGAAGAGCTTAGCTGCATGAAGATAGTTATCTACATCTAGGTTATCCTAGAGTTATTTTCTCTTCATGTTTCCTTACCAAATTGTATTTTGCATCTCCCACTCTTCCATGCGTGCTACATGCCCTGTATATTTAATTCTTTAAGATTTTATCATTATAATAATATTCGATGAAGAATACAAATTATGAAGTTCCGTAACTAGCAATTTGTTCTACCTCTTGCTAGTGTCTCCCTCTTGGCCTCTTGGTCCAGAATAGAGAACAACGTATCCATATTTGTAACATGACTCGAAGTGCCTTGCAGGGCGTGTCAAATGCGACGGGCCAGTTCAGATCGTACAATCATCTACGGCAGTAATAATATAATATTATTCATTTATTCATTCATTTATTTTTGTAGAATAAATTACATGACTGTATTTACTTACACATTATGTACTCAATTTCATTTATGATACATAATTTCTGTTTATATGTTCTCATTTTCTGAATGTACAGGCTCCCCTTAATTGTTCTTCTGTTCACAGGTGGCACTAAATACAAATTCTGCTACACCCCTAAGACAAACTTTGCTAGCGCAGGTTATTATTATTCCACATACTAATGTGTTATTAATTTCTGCCTACTTCTTACGTGAACAGTCTTCTCACAATTCTTTCTTTCCAGTAAAATTCCATAAAAATGCAGAGCATCTCAATCTCCTTAGCATAAAGGACACCTGTATTCCGCTATTGCCCTTCTGCATTCTCTAACATCTCATTCCACTTTCCAGCATGTTGCACTTCTTCTGAAATAATGCATACATCCCCCCTTCCCCTTACATGTGTCCTTATTCTGCAATAAGGGTAAGTCCTGCCTCTTCCCTACCCAGGAGCTCATAAAGCTTGGGCCTAGAAGCTCATCTCTGTTCTCTAAACGGACCCTGTTCAAATTCGTCCTTTAAGATAAAAACAAGGAACGTACGGAAGTTGTAGTCTACACAGAAGGGCGATCCACTGCAAAACGCAAGATAATCACGCCGATAGGAGTTCAGAATCCCTTTTCCTTCTTCAATATTTACTTTTCCTCTTCCAAAGGGAAAGTGTCAAAGTTGGATGAGTAATTTATGTGTTCTTAGTCCCGACATAGTGAGTAAAATGGATGACAAATTAGTGTGTTAACACTCCCTCGGGAGAAAGAAACAAGTGTTGAGTTACTCGTGAGGTAATGTGAAGAGGAAACAGATGTAGACTGCCACTTGTTGAGAACACATTGGCACGAGCAGATGATGTGTAATTACGGTGTGCGAGCACTCAGGAACATGAAGCACAGTCACAGTGACTGATAGATAAGACATCCGATCCGCAACCTTCCCCGGCTCGAGCCTAGGCAAGCCGACATTCTGACCCTATCTGCCAGGAAGCGTGGCACAGCACGCTCGCTCGTATGCCACTCCAGGCGAAGTGGAGGCAGCTCGACAGAACTCATGTACATATGTGCCAGGGGTAGCTATGGGGCGAAGTTCTGCTTAGTGCCTTAACCAAGGAATATTACGCTTCTACAGAGGAGGCAGCTTGATCCAATTGAAGAATAGCAAATTTAAGGTAAGTTATGAAACTGCAGAAGACATTTTTATTTGATTACTTCAGTACAAAACTTTCATGAAAACAGCATTGGACGAATAAGATATACTTCGATATAACTAAACAGACTTGACAAGTTATTGTATATTTTCTCTGAAGAACTAATTTGATTTTAATACAAATATTTATAATTGACTGCAAATAAAAGTAAATAGTTAATTGAATAATTAATTACGTAGGACATGCACATGCTTCTTTGCCTTTGGTAAATGTTAGTTATTTAAACCACTTATTAAATATTTCAACATCGATTTGCTGTTTGTTATTATCATTCTGACTGATAATGTGGGCTCCCGAGCCAGATTCCTTAGCGGTCTCTTAGGACATCCACTTCCGAGGGGCCCAAAATTGTTCTGTGAACTTGCAACGTTTACCGCTAGTCACTCACGTTGCTTAGTGGAGTGGTTCCCAAAGTAGGCAACCCGCACCGTACCGGGGTTGCTCCATATCATGACAATCTGTACGTATTCACTCATTTTACAGAATTCATAAAAAGCAGTTCGGTTTAGAGTCCAGATGTCTCCGCACTTTGAGCCTGTCACGCGAGACACGTTTGAATTAAAATGACGACACCGCACCCTTTCGGATTTCGGTGCGATGTTGGGAGCACAAGCGTGCTTTGCTGCTTCGCTCCTTTCTGCAATATGTCTCGCAAATAGCGAGTCTTCCTTCCTGAGAGCTAATCTCGACATCGCCCTGCTGTACGATAAAGTAATCCCCCTAAAATGTTTAAGTTATGTCTTATTTGACAGCGGATGTGAACCTGTGCTGCTGTAATTCTGAGGAAACGACACGGGAGAAAAGCTGTTCTCCAGTTCACATTTCAGTCGGTATTCACGAACACAAGACCTGAGTAATTCACTGCGTCTCTTTCCTCAGTTGAAAGTGTTTTGATTTCTTATTGTCTAGAATAAGTACTCATCTCTGTTGTTGTTAGCGTGATTCCTTATCATAAAATTTCTGAGCTCTGAATTATGATAATGCAATTATAGGCTCTTGTGGAAGCAGTGTAAATTTCGTCGAAAGAAGTGTTAAAATGTTGTGTTCCCTCTTCACCGTTCAACATAACTTAAGTTTAAAGAATTGCATAAAATTACAATCGAATTACTATCTCACTGAAGGCACCAATTTTTGTTTATTACTGTGTATTTAATATTCCATTTAAGTTAGGGCAACAACTTTTAAGGTATTCGACTTTTCCTACAAACGTAATGTTATATTTTTAATAAGAGTTGAAGGCAATGTTTTCATAATTTTAAGAATTATGTCAGCTACACCATATAAGGTCCTTCCGTGTAGAGCCCCGTGAACCACAAATGCGCCAGTGATGATCTTGACATTTACTTAGGCAATTTCCTTAAGAATGCATACACATGAACCATATGTTTAACATTTCCTTCGGTATAATTATGTTAAGCTCCAGCAGTTATATCTGATGGGACATTTTTAACTTAAAACTGTGTAGTAGGAATACTTCGGTAATTTGGGCCACTATAATAATTTGATACAGAAGTAGTAAGGCCCCCTTCTACAAAATTTGCATTAGTGTAGCAGGCTCTCACTGACGGAGGCCAGCAAGGCCCGCCAGAGTCTCATATTGCATTAGTGCAGCAGGCTCCCACTAACGGAGGCCAGCAAGGCCCGCCAGGGTCTCATATTGCATTAGTGTAGCAGGCTCCCACTGACGGAGGCCAGCAGGGCCCGCCAGGGTCTCATATTGCATTAGTGTAGCAGGCTCCCACTAACGGAGGCCAGCAAGGCCCGCCAGAATCTCATATTGCATTAGTGTAGCAGGCTCCCCCTGACGGAGGCCAGCAGGGCCTGCCAGAGTCTAATATTGCATTAGTGTAGCAGGCTCCCCCTGACGGAGGCCAGGAGGGCCCTCCAGAATCTCATATTGCATTAGTGTAGCAGGCTCCCACTGACGGAGGCCAGCAAGGCCCTCCAGAATCTCATATTGCATTAGTGTAGCGGGCTGCCACTGACGAAGGCCAGCAGGGCCCGCCAGGGTCTCATATTGCATTAGTGTAGCAGGCTCCCCCCATGTGACGTACTCCTCTGTGGAACTAACGATTCACACCAACTACAAAAGCTAAAACAAGTACCGCTTAATGCAACTGTACGCACTCTCGACTCACGACTGTCCATTCAACTTCCCCCCTCCAACTATCCCGACTCAGGCAACCCAACTATCTTACTGCTTCACTGACTTGTCCTTTGTGCAATGTCTTGGCACGGACCGCATAGAAACCATCTCTTCCATTCTTCTCTTGTTGCCGTGGAAACATGCTTGGTTGCGGAGCCGTGATCTAGCAACACCTGTTGATCGTTGCATATTTTGCCATCGTTGTATAGCAACGGTTCTACATGCCACAATATTATCCCTCCATCTATATATTGGTGTACATAGTGGTCCCTTTCCTTCTGATTTTCCCACAATATCCTACACTTATTCTCCTTCTCCTCCAGTTCGTGCTACATGCCCTCTCCATCTCAAAGGCAAATTTATGAATAATACAATCCTATTTATATTAGTAGTTTTGTTGTTGGTGTCCCAAAGGATATGAGTTTTGTCATATTTTCGAGAAATTTGTTAGTTGCTATTGTTGTGTTACATTTTTACTCGGTGTGTTTCTTGTAAGATATGATTACGTATTTTCTCTACGTTTATTTCTCCGCCATAGCGTAATTTCTGTTCTTTATATTATTCATAACTTGAATGCTATTGATAAGTGCATTCCGGCAGCTGACTTATTCCCTTGAATTATAATAGCATACTTCCATTTTTCTTGGATCAATAGAATATTGCATTAAAAGTATTAAATTAAACTATGTCAGTTTTTAATGGTCAGAGTAACAGGAGAAACTGAAATTCCGATGATCGTAGAGAATAATGCGCTTGATTTGCAATATGCAGTCAACATGCGTTAAACTTCGTGGCGTAAGTAACACTAAGAATGTCACGTGTATTAATGGCTAGAGACGGGACTTCCATTGGTAATTGGATTTCTTGAACTCTTAGAGAACGTAAATACAAGTAACTATATCGCTATCGCTAATTCAAAGTCTCTGCAGTTCACAACACCACGCACTAAATCTTCTCAGTCTACTGCGTTTTCACCAGTCGTTGTCTGGTAACGGCTTCATACGGCGGACGTTCCTCTGGCTCTGGGTTTCCGAACTCTCCCCGCGCCTCAGCTACCAGCTTCTCACAGCAACAGCTAATAAAGTCTGAACTGCAGCGGTCCTCTAACTCACTCTTCAACCAAATCACTCCACTCGACTGCACTGCACTGCACTAACTGAAATGTCGAAGTCAAAGTTACTTTACGACCGACGGTTTACCGCGTAAGAGTTCGTCTTGGTGTCAGGTCCCTTGAGGTCCACGACCAGAGATTCTCTTTCCAACTGAACCCTTGCGGTAATAGTCCTAATGTAACATCCTCTCTGATGAAAAGATGGGTTTGTCTCTTATGAATACACTTGACCTTTCGTCAAGTGCATATTTGGCACATATAACATGTTATTGAAAATTCTTCCTTTTGCACTACACATAAGACGTCTGTCAGTACAGACGAATTCGGTCCATCGAGTCCATCATCGGAGCGGACCATATAGAAAGCACCGCTTGCAACAATATTTCCAATGTTGCGCGCAGGCCCCTTCTTAGCAACGTCCCCACTATTAATGCGTATTTACGAAGCTGTTGCTGTTGTCTCTTTATCTCTTTCGTGGCCGTTGCCTATCAATGTGTCTATAAGCCACATTGCTCCCTCCATAAGGTTATTCGTCCCGAATAGCCTGAAGGCGTATCGCAATTTTTTCTTTTCCGAGAGTTGTACTTGCAACGTCTGTGTAGGTCTCACCTTCTTCCCCGTGGCTCGGTTCCCACGCTGATTACTCTCTAACTTCTCCGATGCTCCCTCCTTAAGGCCGCTAGTTCCATGGGGCTCCCTGGTAAGGCGCCAGCCGGTCGATATTATCACCACCGTCTTTCTTTTCCTCTTTTCTGAGGACTGCGGGCATAAGTGCCGAGAGCGGTCGGTGCTCCCTCTTCTCTTGCTCTTAAAGCCGTGGGAGGTTTCTTCTTTTGCTTGAGCGGGGGTCTGTTCCTGGCGATTTGTCTGAGGACCTCGTCCCTTATGCCATTGTTGCATTTCTGCTGCGCCCGATGACCCTTCAGGGGTTTTTCATATAACATTGTCCCTACCCGATCCCTGACGACCGTGTCCCTTGCGCAATGCAGGATTGTCACGGCGGGTCAACCGCTCTCGGGCATTGGCTAGCTTCTGCCGGGACGCACCGTCGCACTGGATCCGTTTTACCGTCCTGCCGCTAGGTGCCGGTCCCCATATCGATCCAGCAGCGCTCCGATTGCTGCCACTTCTGCCGCTTCACTAGGGGAGTCCTGCTGCTCCGTACGGCCTGCGACTTTTCTCGATTTTCCGTGATGTCCATTTTGTTCACTGTTCTTAGAAGACATCCACTGCGGCCTCCATTTTCTCTACCTGGGAGTCCATCCTGGCCATCATCTTTCCTTCGTTTGTTTCCATCTTCTTTCAGGAGTCCTTGACCATCTCTTTCCTTTTTTCAGGTGTTCTTGACCGACTTTCGTTTCCTTTACTTTGGCTTCTTTTTTCTTGGTTGGTTCTCAATTCAGCCAGCAGGCCTTCCATCATTTGTTCCATTTCCTTAGTGTGGAGGTATAGCTTCTTACTGAGGACTCCAACCCAGGTACTTCTGACAAGAGTCTTCACAATTTTAAGTGACTCTATAAGTGGAAATATAAATATAAATAATAACTAACTACCCCAACTCAATGGAGCCGGACCCTTCTTGGAAAACAGCCAGTTGTGTAGCTACTCAAGAAATTCCTAATAATTCATGGAACCCGAAAGTTCATTGTCTTCTTCATGAGAGCACTCCATTGGTCCCTATCCTTATCCAGATCGATCCAGTCC